GGCATACGAAAGACCAGGACAACGCCACTTCACCCACAGTCTGACGGGATGGTAGAAAATACGATTGGACACTGTTACAGTAATTGGTAAAGTTTTGTAATAGTCGCCATGATGACTGTGATGTCTTACTCCCTTCACTGTTGATGGCCTATAGAACAGCAGAGCATAAAGCCACTGGATACATTCCAGCAAAGCTGATGTCTGGTCTGGAACTTCGATTGCCAGTGGACCTGATAACAGGACGCCCACCTTACGAAGAGTTGCCTGATAATGTGTCAGAGTTTGTGAAAGTGTTATCTGAAAGGATGGATGATATTCACCATCAAGTGCGTTCAAACTTGAAAACGTCTGCTGATTCCATGAAGCTATGTTATGATAAGAGATCTACTGAAGTCAGCTTTGTACCAGGAGACAAGGTGTGGTTGTATAATCCCAGGAAGACCAAAGGGAAGTCTCCTAAGTTGTCTTTTCTATGGGAAGGCCCATATGAAATAGTGGATCGTCTCTCAGACATGACTTTCCGAATAAAATGTGGTCGGCGAGGTAAGCTAAAGTTGGTGCATGCCAACAGGCTTTGCGTTATCATGGTCCAGTGCATTTCAGTTGGAACGAAGTGAACAACGGAACAAATGACACTGCTGAAGACGTGTCACCTGAAAAAGCCACTGTCGAAGAAGAAACTGTACTTACCGCTGAGCCACCGGAGGGGTGTGTGTGTGTGTGTGTGTTTTAAACATATAAAATGTTTTTAGTTAAATTCTGTACTTTGACAAGCATACGCTGTTTTCGCCCTGAAAAGTTGATCAACATTATTTTCGCTAGCGTTCTAATAATGTGACTAGGCAGTATATAATGTATTTAGTTGAACTTAATGTATTACACTGAACATTTAAATAGGTAAACGTATATAATTTATTTTTCTATTTCAAATTATCATTCCATTTCTTAACTTTCTCATTAATATTTCAACAAACTGCAGTTTTATTAAATCTGTGCTAATGAAATTTCAAAATTTATATTATTTCTACCTCTTATTACTTTTTCACCTTTTAACAGTAACCACCATTTTTGGGATTTAATATCCGTCATGGCGGCAAAAAGGAAGTATACCGACGATGATGATAATGAATCGTTTGTAAATAGTGAAAAAATTAGCGTTCCTTCTCATATTCGTAATCAGCAAAAGCGACTTATAATAATATTAGAAAAAGCAAATTTAGAGACAGTCAAGGTAATCTTATGTTTATAGTAAATAAAGTATTTAATATTTACAGTAAAAGCAAAATACTTCAAGTTTTGTCTTTTGAAATTTATCAACACGTGTGTAAACTTATTGACTTAGGCCTACAAGTACAACTCTGTATAAGAGTAGAAGACTATAGCTTGTCGTATTATTAGTATTAATTATTCGGTTGCAACAAGGTAATACTGGTCTTTAATTGTAAGTTGTGGTACTTATTAAACTAATACTAATAACTGAGTTTTAGTATGAGAGTTATTTATATTTGTAAGTTGTGGTACTTATCAAACTAATACTAATAACTGAGTTTTAGTATGAAAGTTATTTATATTTGTAAGGTGTGAGATAACCAAATTTTAGTCTACATAGTATTGATACATATACAGTTATTAGCTCGATAGATCGTTAAATAATAATATCCCTAATGCTTTACCTTGCATTTAATATTGATTTGAGAACTAGGTGTTAATCACAAGGGCTTTACTAACAGTAGATCCCGCTTATACTTACAGAATTCAGCTGTCTGTTTTACTAATGTTACCAGTGGCATTCTGGCTGTATATTGTCCAATTGATCCCCCATTTTTTCTTGCATAGCTAAGTAAAAATGTAAACTATGTACAGTAATTTTGTTATCCAGCAGTCTAATTTCCTCTAAATGTTGATGATGACCATTCTTGCATTACTAATGCAGAGGAGGTTAATATTCTGCTTGTAGAATTCTACCAGGCTTCTTGTCATCTCCCTCACTTAGCTTTACACCTGCATAGCTTAAAACACATATCCAGATAATGGTTTTACCATGTGGTTGCTTTGCTTTTTACCATCCATCTGGTAATCAACCACTCTGAAATTTATACAGTACAGCCTGTTGGTGGCTTTGTCTGTTGGTGGTTCACTGCTCTGAGCAATTTGTAGGAGAGCTTTCTTTGTAGTTTCCTGTTTATTCAACATCTGGTGGTAATTAGATATCTCAGTAGTGACGGTATAGCACCTATTTGCCTATCACTTGATAACATAACGTAATGTTTTGGGACAACATGAGACCTATTGGTCCATCTCGGCTGTTCCATCCTTTAAACTAAATTTAAATGATTAAAAAAATCTTAAAGCCAGCCATTTTCATTCATATACTTATCAAGCTTTTTCCTAAACTCACTTAAATTTACTGTCTCTATAACATTTGAAAGCAACCCATTCCAAAGGCCAACCACCCTGTTAGAG